CGTAGAAAAGGCACAGTTGTGTGAAAAAAAAAAAATCTGTAGTCAAGATTTGATTCTGGAGGTATCCAGCTTAACTAAGGTGGAAGGATTAAAGCATGGGAGGAATTCAAATATAACTTTTTGAGTCATTTTTATTTTTGGCTGTCCATCACCCATAGAAGGCACATTTAATTTTTGAGGCCACCTAACAATGGGTACAGGGACTTAGAATGACCTATATTCCTGAGGAAAAAGTGTGAGTTCACTGTAACCAGTAACAGTAAACAGAAGTATGAGAATAGAAGTGTTTCTGTTATGCAGGTAACTGATGTAGAACAATCCCCATGGTAACGGTCATGTTTCTATGACATGCTTCTGGACTTCACATGCCTATACTGCTGTGTTTCTCAAATTTGATTTTCTGATTATGAATGAAATACTACTTTATACTATAAAACATCAAAAATTAAACAGAAACACACCCCTAGTTCCACTGAACATAGTTTAAATTTCACTTTATTTATTTTTCATAAATATTTCATATTCATATGAATAATTCATATCATAACTGAAGAGATGCTAGACAATTTTGTATCTCCTCATGCCATTTGCTTTCAGGGCAGACAATGGGAAGAGAGCAGATGATGCTCACTGGAAGTGTTTGTGTGTGCATGGTCTGAATGAATGAATGAATGAATGAATGGATGGATGGATGGATGGATAGATGAATGGATGGACGGACGGACGGACGGATGGATGGATGGATGCGATGGCCTAGACTTTTCCTACCTGTCTTCCTGACTCACTGACTTCTATCAGAATCATGTTGTCTTCCTTACCATTCAAATCACCGTTAGGTCAGTCTAGAACATGTGAATACTGGGTCCATTCTCATGGACCTGCAGCAGTTTGCTCTCAAGAGAAAATGGAGATGCTTTCCTTACACTGTAGTCCATGCCCCTTCCTTATAACGTAATGATTCATGAAAAACAAGAGGACCCTTTTCCCCTGATGACCTTGTAAGTTGATTAAAGACAAGAAAGTTGCATTGGGAAAAAAAAAAAGATTTAAGGAACACTTTAAGCATTGTGTGTGCTGCAGGCACCAGTAATGTTGACTTGCAAAAGACCAGAAAGATCCTTATGACTGTAAGGGAGGCATTACAAAGGAAACTTAAACTTACAAAAAATGCAAATGCATTGGCATACACTAGGGAAGGATATGCTAAAGAAAAGAAGGAATAAGACTGGAATAAAGGGCAGAAGAGGACTGAAAAAGCCTCACCCCCAAGGAATCACCATGCTCAGAACGTGAGATGACTCAGTGGGGAAAGGTGCTTGTGGCCAAGGATCAGTGTACTCGTGGGACCCACGCCGTGGAAGGAGAGAATGCGCTCCTGCAAGCTGTCCTGACTTTCACATGCATACCATGGCACATGAGCCACATGCACTGCGTGTGTATATTGCGTGAGTGTATGTGCATGCATGTGTGTGTATGCACATGCATGCAACTTTTGCCTCTTGCACTGTATGCCATAGAGTAGTTTCATATCCCAACACTTAATTCAAATGAGTCTGCTATTTTTCTGAGTCCCACAGCATGGTGGTGCCGTTTGGGCTCACGGGGATGTATCATCGGTCTACTGGGTCCATCTTTGCTTTTCTTAGCATCTGTGAAAACATTAAGTTTTGAAAATGGTTCAGATTGTATATGGTAAATACAAATACTAAAGCTGTATTTCATCTTCTATATGATAGAAAATACAGCTTATGAGTTAGTGTTGGCTATTGGAAAAGCAAACATGGTAACTTAAAATATGCTTCCAGAAAAGTGGCTGACCTCCAGAAATGCCCCAGTTCCCCTCACTCTTCTGTGACAAACAGTGTTTCATGCTAGTCACCTGAGCAACTCATGTCTACTTGAACAAGGAATAGATATCTAAGTAAATTCCCAGTTCAGGGTTAAGGAAAAACTCTAAAGAAGGAACTATCAGTATGAATGAAAAGGGAAAAACGCTGCAGGAAATTTCTGCAGTGTATGTACAAGTACCATTGCGTGTGTTCAAGTGTAGAGAGAAGATGAAGAGCTAACATGGTGGTAAGAAAGCAGAGATGCTGTGTTACAGGTCAAGGTGGAGGCCTGTGGCATGCAGAGATGTGTGTTACAGGTCAAGGTGGAGACCTGCGGTGTGCAGAGATGTGTGTGTTTCAAGTCAAGGTGGAGGCCTGCAGTATGCAGATATGTGTGTTTCAGGTCAAGGTGGAGGCCTGCAGTTTGCAGAGATGTGTGTTTCAGGTCAAGGTGGAGGTCTGCGGTGTACAATTCCATCAGTCAATCTGGATAAGATGTTTCCAGACAGAGAAAATCCTCCTAGTCAGTGAAGAGAGCAGGAGTCCCAAACACTGCCAAGGAGAACCCGATAGAAGGAATGGAGAAAAAGGGGACTTGGGGAAGTCTGCTGTGAGACAACATGAGAGAGATGTGTGGGTTCTAACACTGCAGCAAAATCAAGAACAAAGCATGTTTTTCCTGGTTACCAGGAAGAAATACTGATAAGGGGTTGTGATGCGTTGTCTATGGGGATGGATGGATAGATAGATAGATAGATAGATAGATAGACAGACAGATACGTAGATGTTAGATATGTAGTAGACAGGTATAAGTATTCATCAGTAGAGGGTAGGAGTCCTGGAGTGATTATGAAATTATCAGAGCTGGGAAAGACAGCAAATGGAGGGGGCTGCTTGGGTAGAAAATTAATGAATCAAAGTTGTTAAAGAATAATATATATCTTAGTATTATTTAAATTAACATAAAGACAATGGAATATCTATGTATAATGTGTACCCTTTTCAGGAATCTGGTAGATACAAAGAAAGAGAAAGGTCACAAGTACATGGAAATATTCATTTGAAAGGATGAGGAAATCTGACAAAGACAGAAGTGAACTAAAGATAATCGGGGCAGGATAACAGCACATCACACACACACATATACACACACACACACACACACACACCCCACAGAACTGCTTAAGGAGAAAGGCCCATCGGCAACAATGCAGCCTTTTAAAAACGATAAAGGCTGCCTTTGCATTGGTATCACCAAGGGGTCCTGCAATCACAGGCTGAAACAGATGTGCACTTCAGGCAAGGTTCACGGTTGAATCCGAGGCTGTATCCAAGTCTAGCATGGCAGTAGTGACAATACACAATGTGGCTCAGGCCCTTTAGAGGTCATTGACTCTTTGTTAGATGTTCGGTGTTTGTTTCCTGCAGGTTTTAAAACATGTTCTCGATATTACCCTCCTGTCTCAATTACATATTTATGTATGTCAGTAGGTGGGGCAGTGCTAAAAGTGTTCTCATTACTAACTGTTACTACAGCAGTCTGTTCATAGGCAGAGAAGATGCTTTGGGCTCACTGTCTTCCCATGCCACATAGGAGTCCTTGAGTTAATGGCAGCTACACCCTCCCCCTCACCCCCCACCCCACCCAGAGCCCAGTCCTGTCTAAGGAAGGGAATCAGGGACGAAGACTATGTGGAGCCTTTTTGTCTCAACTGTTTTTCTCTGAAGTGTCTAACTTGCTCTACATGGTTTGAAAGGATTCCCAATGGGAAGCCTGATGGCTTAAAATGTCCATGAGTGTGTAGGGTGTGATTTCTGATGAGAGCAACAACATATGGCCCAGATTCCTCTCTGGAGTTATTACATATATCTTCCGCCATGGCGCTCTGGTCAAGGCAGGCAAGAGCCTCAGCCAGTATCCCTGTGAGGACCTTTTCCTGAGGTACAAATGATCGTGAGTATTGTGATTGTAACCTCCAAGCCCCCTTTGAATCGGCAAAGGTGAAAACAGGCTTTAATTTGGCAGAACCACAGGGAAGTATTCCAGTATGGTCTGACTTGTTCATCTCATATGAACATCTCGTACGGACTCTGAATAAGGAATGAGGTTTATGGAATCATCATAAAACCTCAGCCATCACAAAGACATATGTTTGCCTTATCCAGGAGCATCAATCCATGGAAGGCAGAGCTAACTGCAGACAGCAATGTTCAGGGTACAGACCATGGGACTCCATACAATCGTCACAGTTGTCTTTCAAGTCACTAGATTGTCCCACTTTTCCAAAGAAAACTAAGGCAGAAAATCAACATAAAGGCCTTTAGTCACTGACTTAGTAGCCATGCCAATAGTTGAAGCTAGTTCACCTAATATCAAACCAAACGTTCATTAAGTACAGGCTTTGATAACCGAGTATCAGTAACCCATTGAAAGCCTTCTTCTCTGAATTATATATGTATCTATTTATAGAAATAATACGCATAATTAAATGTGTTCGAAGCATAAAAAAGTTATTTGGTCACTACGCAAATCTTAAACCCTACCCTAAACTATAGACTCCTTTACAGTGGAATTTGGAGTTCATTTGTTTGCTTTTAATAGTTGTTAATAAACGGTCTTGTAGGAATGCCATGTTGTTCCCTGGGCTGTTTGCGTGGGTGGTTTAGAAGAGACGGTGAAAAAAATCCCAGCATTTAGGCACAGAGCCCTGCTGAACGTTCAGTCACGTGGGTGGGAGCACGGGACCCCACAGAGGGACCTGGGAGGTGCCACTGGCTGTGTTCGTTAGACATGTTTTAAAAAAAAAAAACAAAAAAGGCCAATTTTCACTCCGTTTTATGGCCGACTGCTATGCCGGCATGGATTGTTTTTCTCCTGTTTAATTAGATTCATTAGGGCAAAAAGCTCTCTCATGCGCATGCCCTTGACTCCACTGTCTTGGTGGGAAGTGACCTCAAAGTCATTGATGAACGCATCTTCTAGTGTAAATAAGCACAGGCCACATACAGAGGACTCATTTAATTACGAGCACGCTTGTAGACCGTCGTAATGCATGGTGTGAACTTGATAGGGAAAAAATATAAGGGGAAGGGGCGGAGGTTGAGAACGCCGCAACACTCCATCGCCCGTTGTTTATCTTCTTATTTACTCGCTTGTTTTTGGTTTTCCAGGTGAAGACAGACGACAGAGTGGTGAAGATGGACCTGGGTTTACTCTTCCTCAGAGTGCGCAAATCCGACACTGGGACCTATTTTTGCCAGACAGTCGAGCATGGTTTTGTCCACACTGTGCGTAAAATCACGCTGGAGGTAGTGGAAGAGCAGAAGGTGGAGGGGATGTTTCACAAGGACCACGAGGAGGAGAGACATCATCCCAAGATGCCCTGCCCGCCTTTGAGCGGCGTGCCTCAGGGCACAAAACCCTGGTACAAGGAGTTCTTGCAGCTGATCGGCTACAGCAACTTCCAGAGAGTGGAAGAATACTGCGAAAAGGTGTGGTGTACAGATAAGAAGAGGAAAAAGCTTAAAATGTCTCCCTCCAAGTGGAAGTACGCCAACCCCCAGGAAAAGAGGCTCCGCTCCAAACCGGAGCACTACCGCCTGCCCAGGCACACGCTGGACTCCTGAGGGCACCCTCCGCCGGCTGCCGAGGGACCGAGCATGGGAAACCTTTAAAGGGAAGAGAAGAGCGACCGCATGCAAGCCTTTCCAGGACTTCCCAGAGCTTCCTGTAGTACCGAGAGGCGGGAACGCTGTATTAAGTTATTCTGCATACTCATCTTACTGTACAAACCGCTCACAGTGCTAGGACTCAAAACGAGTGTTTTGCTTTAAAAGCTTCACTTTGTATTTATCAACATCATGACCGTGGCTGTAATTTTGAGTTTGAGCTGCTTTTCAGGGAAATTATTTCACCATTGGAATATTTAATATAATTATAATATTAAAGAAAAAGTTATAGATTTTCATAATTAAGACAAATGTAAAACTAAACCAGCTTTAATCTTTCTGGGGTTTTCCTTGCCACCATAAGGTAAAATACACAGAATATCAGATACTTTAGGATTTTCCTGTGAACTTTTTTGCTCTGTTCTGATTTATTTTTTTAAGCCGTGAGTTTTAAGTAGTTGTGTTGTGATTGCTATAAACCAACCGTAAAAGCAACCTGTGACCCGCCGTTCTGTGGCTTGTTCTTTCTATGAGACATTCACTAAATTGTATTAAATATTTCTGTTTTGTAAACATGACATATCCTTTAAATTTCACTCCAGTTTGGAAAGAAGGAAGATAAACTCTCAGAAAAATATTTTCAAATGTCAAAACATGGCAGTCGAGGCTAATCAAAAGGTTTGTGCTACCCTCTTGTGGTAGAAGCAGGCATGGTCGCTTCTAGAGCTGTTTTGGTCATTACCCGGCAGAGATTTGAAAGATTTTATGAGCAGATACATCTAGCTCATTTTCAGAAAACGCAACTAAAAAGATAAAACCATAATACTTATATCATGGTTCAACATGGAAATAATATGCTTGTTGATAATTCATGACTTCACAATACAGTGAAGATATTAGCAGCATTTGAGCTTTTAAAACATAAAAGGCAAGCTTTTTGTCAACCGTTCCCCGAGATCCGCAATACTTTGGAAGTGTGCTTTCCTGAAAAGGAATTATCATAGCATTTTCCTCTCATTTTCTATAAACAAAAATTGCTTCTTAGATTAGTTTGACTACTGAGACCTTTAGAGAATTGTAATCCGTCTTATATTACAAAAACTGATATTTTCCAGACTGTTTATATCTTGAAATCATTTCTAATTGTGTTTTAAAGATTTATCAGCTACCTTTCTAAAATGAGCTTTATGAGACTTTTGTCTTGAATAAGAGTAAAGCAAGCACAGAGTTCATAAAATCAGTAAAGAACAGCCATTCAGACCTTGCATTGAAGTATTTCTGTTTGCTATCTCCGTGTGCCAGGCAATTGAGAAGATACGGTGCTGCCAACGTCTCACGGCTTTCTCTGTCACTCGAAGATGAGTATGACTCACAAATTACTTACAAAATACTCCACGGAGGTTCTTCAAGGCTGGAATCTATAAAACATATAAATAGAAAGTTTACGTCTTCTGAAAACTCCACATGTTATTGGCCCCAGAATCCACTGGGGGTCATTGTTGTCCACCAAAAGTAATTGAAAAAAAAACCATGCATTTGAATCATTAAAAAAAAAAAAACAACAACTATAGTTTAGGAACACAAGGAGGCAACAGGGAGAGAGGAAATTAAAACCATAAACACATCTCATGGTTCCTAAGGAACATATATGTCTGGAATATTCCAAGTGAATAGACAAATCCATGTGAGACACTTTGAAATAATTCTTTCTCTAAGCAAATTAAAGATAAGGAAAAGAGTTTCTCTTAGATCCATGTTAAATAATAAAGCAAAGCAGCTATGCACAAGTCTATTTTAATCTTAATGCACTGGTAGGTAATGCGGAAAATTATGACTCTGTGAGCTAAGAATTCAAACACTTTTTTTTACAATTTAATTATTAAATTCGCATGAAGACTATGTGACTAAACTAAGACGTTAATCAGAAACTAAAATTAAATAAAATGGCGGAGTTTATTCTGGGAAAAAAGTTCAATTCAAAGATAGTTTTAAAATATACTGATTTAAATGAAATTTGATAAAATGTTGAGGACTCGAGTCCAAAGTTAAGAACACTAAATTATATATAAATATATTTATATGTACTATATTCATGTATTACATATGCTTCTACGTACCTGTTTATAGTAGCAGCTTAAGACAACTAGTAACAGAGAGAGAGAGAGAGAGAGAGAGAGAGAGAGAGAGAGAGCGCAGTTCCCAAGGATGCAGCAGATGTACCACTCTATCTTTCTCTCTCCTGACCACCCTTGCTCATAGACTCACAGGTAGTATTAAGATAAATCACTAACCCCTCCCAAAGTTCAAACCAACAGAATACAATTCTGCTGAGTGTGTTTGAAAGTCTAAAGCCTGGCATAAGCATCACTACTAGCCTTTTGTTGGCCCAGAGGATAGAATTCAAAAAGACTTTGCTTAAGAAAGAATTCTATCAAAAGAAGCAATGACCTACCTCCCTTGAACTCAGGCAGGGTATCTAGAGGACTCCGCAAAAGGTGGTAAGAGCTCCCCTGGAGTCTCCCAGACATGACCTTGACAAAGACGTCCTCAAAACACACACAGCTGACCTAGGATTCTAACCTCCCATCCTTGTTCCAGAGGGGCCCTTTGTATGGTCAGTCTCCTGCTTCCCCAGAGCCCAGGGTACCGTAAAGTGAGTTGCCCGCTCCCTCAGCATAATGCTAGCTACTCAGCTGCAGATCCAGACACATCAAGAAGCCCACACTAAAAAGAGAAGTCATGACTTTAGGAGCCGTTTCCATGTCTAATGTTCTGCAGGGCTATCTTTCCCCCTTTGCATTAAATACTGAATATTTCAGAAAATTGCAACTTTGAGACAAGAAAGAAAAATAGAAATAAATCCTAATAAATCCGGAGCATGGGACTAAAAGTCTACATTGGTTTTGTGAGTTTCAATGGACAGAAAAATATGGGATCTATACTACATATTACACTAAGTGTCTTCCTTTCCACAATTGGCGAAGTCATGTGGGACGCTTTTACTGAGTACTTAGCAGTTGCCGTGGATTATAGGGTTTTGTAAATCTGCGTGGTAAGTATGAATATTTGTAAAATTTGTACCATATAACAAGTCACTTTGGATGTTAGTCTTAATCGTGAGAGAAACAGCAGTTATTGGCCTTAGAAATGATATTTTTGACCTGTGAAGCATGTGGGGTACTTAGTGCTATACAGATACATTACATCCCATGTAGACATCACACATCTGTGATTTAAAAAAAAAAAAAAAAAAAAAGGAGTCTCATGTTCCTTTTATATGTACTCCTCATTTTTTTTAGGACAATAATTGCTGATTTAAATCAGATAGAAATGCTATATTCTCCACAAAGTCTCTTTTGCTTGTAGTAGCATTATGTAATCTGGGATTTTGTTACTATTGTCTTGGGGAGACAGCTCTACACATTGGCTTTCATTATGCATGAAATGGCTTAGTTCTGAGCTAGAACACCATCCTGGAGTGTTTTTGTTTTGGGATCTCTTGTCTCTTCGGCAGAGTCTACAAAGCATGTGCCATATTGTTTCTTTCCCCTCACGCTGAGCTCTGAGACTCATCGTCGCCTGGTGACAGGCTGCCAGGGACCAGTGACTGTGTGTTGCCCTGAATGTCACATAGATCCACCACCCTACACTTCACAAAGTCTGTACTATTGAGTGGAATTTCTATTTGGTTCAGCTTAGATGAAAAAAGAAATAAATATTCTCCAAAATATTAAGTGCTATCCAAGAAGTATTTTCTATCTTTCTTCCTCCCTCCCTTTCCCCGTCGATCTCCCATCCCCTTTCCTGTATTCCCTTCCTTCATTCTTCTTCTTCCTTACTTCCCACCCTCCCTTCCTTCCTTTCCCAGATGAACACATCTCTTATATCTAACCTGATGTGAGCTCCATTGCTGAATTGACGGGCTTCCTTTAAGTTAGAGAAGAATTCAATGTTCCTTTGGAGAAATGGCCAATTTTTCCAAGGAGGAAAAATATCATTAATCCCCCTTTATAGCAAGTTTATTTACAGCATGCTAGGTTTCTGTGATGTTCGCGTGAAACTCAGTCTCATGTACACCTTCACAGTCAAGGTGTTTCATTATTATTCATTCTTCAACCTCCTACAGCATTCTATTACTAGGCTGGTCCTTGGTGACGGGGTTCTAGGAGTCTTCACGCCGAGCAGAGACCCGCAACCCAGAGGGGGCAAATCTGTGTTGCGTCTTGAACCCTGCCAGCTTAGGTGTATGTTTAAGGCACGTCCAAGACCCTGAAGGTCCTTGCAGCTATGAAACTCGCCAACCCTCACGTTCGGCTCTCCTAAACGAAGCACCCTCTCACAGGTGTGCCTGAAGTCTTGTCTCCAAGACAACTCTAGATCCTGCCAAGCTGACAATAAGAAAATGTTACCATCACACACCTGGTGGCTAAAACCGTCTTGAACCAAAAGAAAGACAAAAATAAAACACAAATTACTTAATTCAAAACATGCCACAAATCCAGAGGCTACAAAATTACATGACGTTGCCATCAAAACAGTCACATAGAACAAAAATTCATAATAGAGAGCCATAAAGTTTGGGTACACCACTCAGAGCACAAATTTTCAACAAAGGCATGAACAAAAGATAATCTTATAAATAAATGTGAATTTTTGGTTCCTACACACCAAAGCATGAAGGTAGACTCTTGCCATTTCCTGGGTGATGGAGACAGGGCCAGGGTTTATGTAGCCCAGTCTGGTTTTCTTCAAATGTTTGCTTTATCTTGGATTTCTTTTCTTTTTCTTGACATTCCTTAAGGGATTTATTGATTTCTTCTTTAAGGACCTTTAGCATCTTCATAAGGTAGGTTTTAAGGTTGTTTTCTTGTGTTTCAGCTGTGTTGGAATATTCAAGGCTTACTGTAGTGAGATAGCTGGGCTCTGTAGGTGACATATTTTCCTGGATGTTGTTTGTTTTCTTATACTTACAGTTAGGCATCTGGATTTGATGTGATTATAGGGCTAGGTAACGATTTCCGGTTTTTTCTTTGTTGGATGGATTCTTCCTCCTTGGTTTCTGTTTTCTCCCTAGTCTTCTGTCTGGAGTGGACTGTGGCTGAGTAGAGGCTCTTCTCCCAAGTTGGGGGATGGACTGTGAAAGTCCTGATGGCCTCTGGTCCAGGAGAGATGTGGCCACCAGCTTGGAGACTGAAGTTCTGGCTATATGCACGGCCTTTGATCTGGCGAAGAGTCCTCAGGGGTTCATGATGCTTGTCTGGCTTCTTGGGGTGTAAGAGCTTCTGCCTGGTTTTCAGGGAGCTAGCCTGGTCTCTGGGTTTGGGTTGGTCTGGCTTCTTGGGGGTCAGTATATGGACCTAGTCTCTGTTGGACAGGAGGTTTCTGCCTGAGGTGTGGACTGGGATATGGAGACAAGGAGAAGAGAGATGGTTGGGGTTTTGTTGGTCAGGCACAGGTGAAGTGGAGAAGTGGTTTTATCTGGGGTTCAGAGAGCTATTCTGGACTCTGGTGGGGTAGAAGCTTTCCACTTAGTGGTGTGGATTGAATAAAGTGATCCCAGGCTGTCCTCAAAGTCTTCACACATCTCCCTTGAATTTCTGCTTCTCTTGCATCTCCCTCCCAAGTGCTAAGATTAAAAACAACACAACTTCACAGTATATTTTCTGAAAGACTCAAGAGTTGGTAAATTAAAGACAAAGCACAAACAATATTGAAAGCAATATTTTATATTGACGATCAACCTTTTCCCAGGTTATATGTATTTTCCAAGCCTGTTACACTTAATGTTATGAAATAGACTGAAATCCCGTTGAGGTAGTTATCTTGACCTACCTGATGAGGTACTGAATGACAAAATGCTGTTATTTATAGACTCCAGACTCCACGAGAGATGTTACACGTGAAAATTTTTTTCAAAAAGAGGGGCTCCCTGAGGTCTCTGATGTGTCACCCCCTTTCTGGGTTCTTTTACTTCAGAGCTCCCCTCTTTGCCCTTTTCTCGTGCTTTCTATAACCATGACTGCAGCCTTCATTTTAGAACACAAACTGGACACTGTCTCAGTGCCCCCTCAGCTCATGAATCACTTCTATGCTGTGGACATAAAGCTCAGACTTGCTTTCACCCTTTCTCCTGACTTAATGATGTTTAACTCAGGTTGGTCTTTATTCCCATCCACACCTGTCTACCATCTTTCCCACCCTAAGTTCTATTTCTTCTGTCTGCTGGGATATCTTTCCCAAAGACTTATCATAAACCTTCTTACCCACTTGCCTTTGTTAGGGTTTCTGTTTTTGTGAAGAGACACTATGACCACACCATTCTTATAAAAAGAAAACATTTAATTGAGACTTAGTTCAGAGGTTTAGTCAATTATTATTTGGTCAGGAAAACACTGCAGCATGCAGACAGACAAGGTGCTGGAGAGGTAGCTGAGAGTTCTCCATCTGGATTGACAGGCAACAGGAAGAGAGAGTGACTTTGGGCCTGGTTTGAGCTTCTGAAACCTCAAAGCCCATTCCTTCTGACATACTTCCTCCAATAAGACAAGACCTAATCAAATAAGGCCACACCTTCAATAATGCCACTCCCTATGAGTCTATAGTGACAATCTTTACTCAATCTACCACACTACCTCTCACCGAGCTAGAGAGCAGAGGAGCACGACCCATCCCATGGTCAAGCTTTGCATGGGCCACAGATCTCTGTGTAAAAGTTTCTTAACAGGAACAACAATGTTTTGTTCTACCTTGCCCCTAAACTTAATGTGGCCATCGATCATGGACACAAAATCACTAATTACATCATGAATAAATTAGTCTATTAGGCCATAATTCTCATGAAGTGATTCATGAATATTCTGAAATTATAGTTAACTTTTATTCTGGAGTAAGGTCTACATGGCTCTTATTAATCATTAAAAGAATCATTGGCCCAAAGTTCAAGAGCAAGTCTATTATATAATCCATCCAATTATAGACTGTACCACAAAAACACAAGGATGTTAAATGACTTTGTAAAAGCGAAGACCTGGCACGAGCAGGAAATGCAGAGCATCAAATGGTGCACTCTCACGTAAAGGGTACATTGTCCCGTGCTGTCAAATTAGACAGCATAAATGAGTTTAAATGAAAGAACAAACCTTTTGAGGACAACAGCAATCAATTAAAAATTTGCATTTATTATAGCAATCTATAGACTGCTCAGTTCCTTTATCCATAAGTCAAAGCTAAAGACAGAAAGTTTGTTGTTTAGGCTGGACAAAGGGTGTGTGAAAACACAGAGGATGGATGGGCAAATGGTTATTTATTAGAGGGTGATCGCATCATTTTGACACAGTACATGGTATGTAGACAGTATTTATTTCCATGTGTGGCTGGACCTCAGAGGAAGGAAGTTCCAAGACTGGTGGACGTAGCAGTGTCTTCAAAGGATCAGGTGATCTCTGCTGTGGAGCATGTACCAAAGAAAAAACTGTGCAGACATGGCTTTAAGCCAATAAAAGTCTCTATTAGCTGGCCGGCAACTACACTGGCTGTTAGGAATCCCAGTGTAGCACCAAACCTTTCTTGGGGTGAGTTTTTAAGCACAAAATTCATCTGGGTTTTTCATACTTTAGTTACCAAAAACAATTATCAAGAAGCAGAGCTGCAAAAGCCGAAAATTGGAGTAAGTAAATTTAGAGACTTTCCCAGAATTATGGACTTTGATGGATTAGGTCTTTGTTATCATTTTGGTCACTGGTGCTGTCTACATGTTGACTTTTACAGCAGGAATGATACTTCCATCATGGAGTCAGTTGTGCTAAGGTCAGGGGCCCTGTTACAATTCCACACTTTCCCTGTGCTGTTTTGGACACTGGTTTTTGTCCTCAGGAAACTGTTTTAAACATTTACTTTTATGCACACAAAAAAAGTGCAAAACCAGTATGCATTCTCATACTCCAGTCACACCGCATCCACTAGAAGCACTCCTCTCTAGGACTGAGTCAACACCCACATCCACAAACTGGAAACAACAAGGTCCAATCTACATGTAGGAGACAGATAGGAAAGGATGTCCACTGCTGAGGTATCAAAAAGCAGGGTAAAAATGAAATTTTAAATTAAAATTAGGAACCGGGAGGTGGTGGCGCACGCCTTTAATCTCAGCACTCGGGAGGCAGAGGCAGGCGGATCTCTGTGAGTTCGAGGCCAGCCTGGTCTAGAAGAGCTAGTTCCAGGACAGAAACCAAAAGCCACGGAGAAACCCTGTCTCGAAAAAAATCCAAAAAAAAAAAAAAATAATATTAGGAACGCTGCACTGAAGTAGTTTTTCCTACCTCTTAAGGCTACTTCAGAATCTAAGTAATGCAAAATTATACTCATAACATGTGGGAAAATACAGGTTACTTGGTTGAGGACTGTAGGTTTGAAACTGCTATAAAAGTGTGTAAGAAAGTAATATTTGGGGCAGCTTTCTGAAAGTATTTTCATCACAATATGCTATTTAAAGAATGGCAGCAGAAGCCAAAGTGCTGACGCTAAAGAGTGTTCTGAGTTTACATTTTACAAAGTGCAAGAAGATACATTTTCTCTTATCGTTGGTCCATGATAAACAGATGTCAGCATAGAGCCGTTACTAAAGCTGTCCTTGAATGTCCATTCCTGGTCACTTCACCGCTGTATGTGGAGAAAATGGCAGAGGTACAGACAAGCCATGAATCTAAAGCCCATGGAGAAA